TTATTGAATGTAACATTAAAGAAGCATCTGTTTCCCACTTGCACAATAAAATGGGCCACTCCCTCTAGCGCTTGAGAGACAAGGTCTCCACTGTTCCTGGATAGCCACCATCTCCCACATCTTCATACGGATTTTATTTTATGATGATGTATGACTTCTGCCGGAAATAGGTAGTTATCCTGAAATTGCATAAAATGCAGACTATAAAAAGAGAAAAACGTGCTGAAAAATTACTAAGGTCAAGGCTAAACCTATTAGCAGCTGAATGCAGTCAAATAACTGACTGTATGCCTCCCTAGCTGGGATGGGGGAACAAAGGTGGCTTGCTATTTCCTCCTGATTTGACAGAGCAAGGAATTACTCCCTCAGGAACCTGAATATCTCTGTGGAACAGAGTCAGTGTGAAAAGTCATTTCTCTCATGCAACTGCCTCACATCTTCCACTTAGGATCTCTTAGGGGTGAGTAAGGGACACATATGTGTGGTAGAAACCTAGGTTGAGGCTAAATTATTATTTAAATATAAAAAAGATTACACGAATCTTTCTAACTATATCTCTTAGTCTAACTGAAGAGTCACAGCCAAGTTATGACATGACATAATTGGGAGTGACCCAGAAACACTGGTTACCTACACAGGTAGATAGGTCACACTGATTGATTAGATTCAAAATTATGGCTATCAGGCACGAGTCTCAGAACTATTTTCTGCCACACAGTTTTGTGCAATCAAATGTGAGAATACAGCTGAAGTTATGAAGTTACGTGGCATAGTGAAAACTCAAGAGCAATTGAAGCCCACCCAGTGCCTGGGCACTGGGGGGTAGTAGGCACTTAACAAAAATTTACTGACTGACTCAGGAGCACATAATAGCACAATGATAAATGCAAAAATTCTAACCACTGGGGGAATTATTAGATTAAAAACTGCTGAGGAAACTTGAAAGCAGATTAGGAGAAGTTGGGTTTAGTCGGTGCCCAGGGGCACACAGCTAGTAAGTGTCTCAGGTGGAATTTGACCTCAGGTCTTCCTAACTGTAGACCAGCTCCATCTTTGCCACCCAGCTGCTTCTAGCTGAAAGCCAGTAATTGGTACCAAATAACTAATGTGATTCCTGACCCAACTGAAAGTCAGAGCTGCCTGATCTAGGAAGGCGTTTTAAGGCTAGGGGGAGTTTTCAAAGGCTATTTCCTTCAAGTCTCAGTTAAAGTGCCACTTCTGACATGAAGCCTGATCCCCACAGTTGCTTGCACCCATCTTACACTCCCAAAATTACTTTGTATTTAATTCATATATATTTTATATTTACTTATTTATGTTCATGTTGTTTCATCCCAATGTAATATAAGCTTCTTTACAACATGGACCATTTTATTTTTGTCTTAGTATGTGCAGGATCTGATACATAAGAGGCAATTAATAAATATTGGCTAAAACTCAAAATGTCCCAAACTGAATTCATTTTCTGGTGTATTCCTCATGACCTCACACATTTGCTATGACAATAGCCTGCTGCTTTGTCTGACTGCCTCAAGTCCCCCCCCTACTCTGATCCATTGTCCTCTCAGCTGTCACATTTATTCTTCTGAAGTACAGATCTGACCGTGTCACCTTTGTATTCAATAAATTCCAGTGGCTCCCTATTACCTCCAGGATCAAATACACAATTCTTTGTTTGGTATTCAAAGCCCTTCACAACTTGGTCCCCTCCTCCCTTTCCAGACTTCTCACACCTTACTACACCCTGTTCACTCTGTACTCCAAGATCTAGTGGCACTGGCCTCTTTGCTGTTCCTGGAACAAGAAACTGCATCACCCAACTTCAGGCATTTTCACTGGTCGTTCCTCATGCATAGAATACTCTCCTTCCTCATCTCTGCTTCTTGAGTTCCCTTTTCATTGTTATTGTTGTTGTTGTTGAATCATTTAAGTCACACCTGACTCTTTGTGACTCCATTTTGGGGTTTTCTTGGCAAAGATACTAGAGTGGTTTGCTATTTCCTTCTCCAGCTCATTTTACAGATGAGGAAACTGAGGAAAATTGGGTTAAGTGACTTCCCAGGGTCACACAGCTACTAAGTGTTTGAGGCTAGATTTGAACTCAGGAAGATGAGTCTTCCTGATTCCAAGCAAGGCCTCTATCCACCATGCCACCTATCTGCCCTCGCCTGACTTCTTTGGCTTCTTTCAAATCCCAAATAAAATCATACATATGTACATACATACATATGCATATATATGTCTTAGATAAAAACATCTATGTAGATGTTTTCACGTTCTCTCCACATTATACTGTGAGCACCATTTTACCTTTCTTTTTTTCTTTACCTTTTCTTTGCCTCTATTTTACCTTTCTTATTGTATGAATGAAAAGAAGAACTCAAATGTGAAAGATAATACAGTCAGGATTGAAGTAAGTTGCTAACTGGATAGTAGGGTTGGGGGAGGGAAAAGGAGAAACAAGAGAAGTTTTCAATTTTTGGATGACCAGGAGTATGAAGTTCTCATGAATAGAAGTTGGGAAGCAAGGAGAAGGGGCTGGTTGAGCAGAGTAACTTAATGCTTTCAGTTTGGAACATGTTGAATTTGAAGTACAAATGAGATATTCGAATTGAGTAGGCAGTTAAAAATAGGAGTCTGTAACTTGGGAGAAAGGTTGTGGCTAGTGATGACCAAATGGGGATCATCCCCCTGGAGGTGGCAGTTGAAGCCATACAGATTGCCACAGCAATCAGGGGATCAGAAAAACTCAGAGTCGAAAGGTAACTTAAATGCTATCTAGTTAAACCTATACTTGAAGCCTCTGGTTTTTTTTTTTAATTTTGAACTGCTCTGCTTTTTTTCCCCCACTTAACAGTATTTTATTTTTCCCAATTACTTGTAAAGATAATTTTCAACATTCACTTTTATAAGATTTCGACTTCCAAATTTTTTTCTCCATCTCTCTCTTTCCCTCCCCCATCCCCAAGATAGCAAGCAATCTGATTTAGGCTATATGTGTACAATCATATTAAACATATTTCCACATTAGTTGTGTTGTGAAAGAAGAATCAGAACAAAAGGGAAAAACCACAAGAAAGAAAAAAAAAGAGAAAATAGTATGCTTGAAGCCCCTGTTATGATACCTTCAACCAGTGGTCATTCAACTTCTGCCCAAAGACTTCCATTGAAGGGAGGTCTATACTTTTGAAGCTGGCCAATTCTACTTTTGGATAGTTGTCATTGCTAGGAAGCTGTTTTTGTTTTTTTTTTCCTTAAATCAGTCCTTAATCTACCTATCCATGACTTCTATTCATAGAGGGAAAGGAAGAATGAAAGGGTACTGTAACAGAACCTTTCAGGAATAGTAAATCTACTCTTCTCCCCTTCCAGCTTCAGACACACCAGGTGCCTGTGGATATTTATTGACATCTGCTGTGCATATATGTTGTTGGTGGTGGTGGTGGTGAGCCATCTCCTACCCTACTTGACCCCATAGACTTTTATCCATAGGGTTTTCTTGGCAAAGATACTGCAGTGATTTGTCATTTCCTTTTCTATGTGCCCCCATTTTATCAATGTGGAATCTTAGGCAAACAGGTCAAGTGACTTGCCCAGGGTCACATAGCTAGTAAGTGTTTGAGGCCACATTTGAATTCAGATCTTCCTGACTCCAAGCCTGGTGCTCATCCACTGCGCTGCCTAGCTGCCCCACTGTGCACATAGCACACTGAATAATGCCATGGGGGATATAAAGATGTCCAAGACACTATCTGCACTTTAAAAGGTGACAATCATTTGGGAGAAGTGGATATGCTCACACATAGTGGGTTTTGGAGATAGTAAGAACAGTAGTAACAAGAGGAAGGATGAGAAATGGAACTTACTGTCAGCACCTATGTTAAGTGGAAAGCCAAACACCTGGGTGATCCCTCCCTCCCACACACACACATACACTCCTAAGGCGTCTAGGCCCAAGAAATCATGTGGAGGCAGCCATACCTGAAATGCAAGGGCCTTCCTGGCAAAGAAAAGAAGAGCTATCAGGAATGGGCAAAGAAAGGGATGAATTGTGCCTTTTCTCCTATTAATACCCCTACTTTTATTCCTTTGCAATTTAGGTCAGAAAGGACTAAGGACTACTGGAGTCTGGCTCCAAGTTTTCTCGAATGGGTGGAAAGTTGCCATTTTAATTATGTTACTTGTTGTTGTTACTGTTCATCCTTCTTTCTGGAAGAAGACTGATGACATCATAGGCGATATCATGACTTGCCCATGAGTTGGATTTAAGTGAGGCAGAGCTGCACAAATTTGTCACTGTCACTCTCTCCTCCAGATTCACACATGCTAGGGCATTCCCAATGTTGGGTGGGAACCAGCACCTGAGGGATGGAAGGCTTGAAGGCAAGGAAAATAAACATACAACTGGTCAGCACAAAGCAGCAAAGATTTGTGTGTTTTCATTCTGAACTCAGTGCCATTGCAGTAGGCTCATGCAACTCAATTTATAGCTATTGTGATGGAAACTTTTCTTTGAGATGTCAGCTGTCAACCTCCAGAGTGATTCTATTTATAGGTCTATTCCAGGAACAGTAGAAAAAGACCTCCTGGGAAACTGAGCCAACCTATATCACCTAAGCTATCACTAGGAAAACTCAAATCACTGGTGAACAGCATTCCAGCCAACAATAGGGACTAGCTTCCTGGTGGGTTGTTTTTCCATTCAGTCTATCTCAGAGGCCTGACAAATTTCATCTTGTTTGTGCAGTAAAGCCCTCTCTAGTAATCAGGGAAGTAATTAAGCTGCTGCTGAGATCCCGCTCCTTAGTTGCTGTCATACAAAGGCAATAATCACACTTGTGAATAAAGGGCCCTTTGCTTTCCCCTCTAGCAAAATTATCTGTTATTATCATTAGATTTTATTCCTTTTCTATCCACATCATGGTCATCAATAGCTTAACCCACAGTAGGACCCGATCACAATGCCCACTTTCTAGAAAGCACTGATAAGCATTCCTCACCTTTTCATCGGCTTGGGTGAGCACTCTCTCTCTAGGTTGGAGGACGTATGTTTCACGTGCATTGCATTATAGGAAGTGTGAGTATAGTCATTCTCATCACTGTAGTCAGGACCGAGTAATGTCCGAGCCCAAGTTCCCATATCATAGGGAGGGAGGGTCCCTCCAAATTCAGAGGGCAGGAATTCAGGGTGTATTAGTTGGTGAAGGCTGTTCAAATTGTTGCCATGGAGAAAGATCTAGAGGGAAAAACATAATAATAGAAAAAACCCTGAAACACATAACCAAAAAAACAATCAACATGCATATATTAAGAGTCTGCAATGAATTTTTCAAAATAAAATTGAGTTGCTTGAGGGGGAAAAACGTCTTTGTGCTCGACACTGCATTAAATATAAGAATACAGAGACAAAAAATAATTATCCTACTCTCAGGTAGATTATGTTTTATAGGGGCATAGACAAGATACAGCACATACAAAGCAAAAAGCAAGGTCACCATAGCAGGGAAAAGATTATAAACTTAGTGAAGGGGAGGTGGAGATTGGGAGGGCAGACTAGCAAAGATGTCCTGCAGAAGGTGAGGCTTAAGTTGACTCATCAAGGAAACCATGAATTCTGAAAAATAGAGGTGAGAAGAGAAAGCATTCCAAGAACAGGGGACAGCCCATGGAAAGACATGGTGATACAGGATGGAACATCATTCATATGATGCACAGAACAGAATCTCAGGATTACAAGGGACATGAGAGGCGTCCTAGTCTCAGAACAAGAATCCCTCTTACTACAAAATACCTGAAAAGACTTTGTTTTTTGTTTGTCCAGAATTTGTTTTGATGACTTGGGAGGGAAAAACCCACTACTTCCTTACACAACCCATTTTACTTTGGGGTAGCACTAAGTATTAGGATGGTGTCCACAAATTTCCTTACGTCAAAGCCAAAATATGCTTCCTTATCAGTATTACCCAGAGCTCTTAGTTCTTCCTTCTGGGACCAAGAAGAACAAGTATAATCTTCTCCTTCTGTATGACAGTCCTTCAGGCACTTGAATACTCCTCTCAGGTCTCTCCTGAGTACCCTCTTTTCCAGGCTAACCACTTTTAGTTTGTATAATCAATCATCCTTGTGAACAGAAGCTGACTCCTGTTTATTCCACCAACCTAGCTGCCTTCCAGGATATAGTTTGGGAATGACATTAGATACATGGCTGATGTAAGTGTGTTTGAAGAAAAAAGTGTATTTGTGTTTCAGAATAATAAAAAAAATGTATTTGTTGCTTAGGAAAGGGAATAGGGTATTAGTTCTAAAAAATGACAGATCTGATATTATTGGATTTGAAACAGTTTTACAGATATGAACAATTGCTGATTATCTGAATCAGTGGGAGAATGAGTGATATAGATAAACTAGACCCACAGATAATCCAACAATCCTGTATATACCACCTCTGCAGCTTTCTTTTCTGTCTCTCCACAAAGGTAATGCCCCCCACTTCTGTTCCCCCTCTCAATACCTAATTAACTTATTCCTATCTATCCTACAAGACCTACCTCTATCTTTCTACTCTGAGTTTTTTCACGGGCTGTCCCCCATTTCTGGATTGCTCTCCCTCCTCTTCTCTGTCTTCTAGCTTCTTTCAAGTCCTAGCTACAGGAAGCCTTTTCCAATCCCTCTTGATTCTAATGCCTTCCCTCTGTTAATTATTTCCACTTTATCCTGTATATCTCTTGTTTGTATATAGTTGCTTGCACATTGTCTTCCCTATTATACTGTGAACTCCCTGAGAACAGGGACTGGCTTTTACCTTTCTGTATATTCCCAACACTTAGCACAGTGCCTGGCACATAATAGGTGCTTAATAAATGTTTATTGACTGACTGGAGGCTTTGTCACTCACTCCATCCCACAAAGATCATAGGATCATAGATTTAGAACTCTAAGGGATCTTTCGGATAATTTGTGCAATCCTCCCATTTATCGATGGAAAGACTGAAATCTAGAGAGGTTTAGCCATTTTGTGCAAGGCTAACCTGGTAGTGACAGAGCTTAGATTTGTACTCCTTTTTTTTGACTGTTTTCTTTCACTTGCGTGATGTCCTTTCTCTGAATTCTAATAGTACTGAGAGTATATACCACAAAATTTAGCTATTCATTATATTCAATCTTTCGTTATTTTCCAACTGTACACCCTGTGTCCTCTGGGCAGCTAGGTGGCACACTGCATAGAATGCTGGGCCTGGAGTCAGGAAGACTCATCCTCCTGAGTTCAAACCCAGCCTCAGATACTTACTAGATGTGTGACCCTGAGCAACTCACTAAACCCTGTTTACCCCAGTTTCCTCAACTGTAAAATGATCTGGAGAAGGAAATGGCAAACTACCCCAGTATCTTTGCCAAGAAAACCTGAAATGGGGGCATGAAAAGTTGGACACTACTGAAAAACAACAGAACTGTCCTCTGTTGAAACTACAATCCTCTTGAAGACAGACATCTTGTCTTGTCCTGCTTTCCTAGAACTAATAGCATGGTATGGCACTTGGCATGCAGGAAGAATTCAACCAATAATTGCAGAATTAATTTAAATATTTTGTTGGTAATTTTTTTATTTTTTCAATCAGACTATTTGTTTTCCTAATTACCTTTTGGGTCTAATACTAAAATTAATTTGTTTTCCTGAGAACACATTGACTGACACTGTTACAGCTGGGTGAAGGTGGAAGTCAGCCTGAGATTAAAAATCTTTGTGGATAGTCCACAGAATAGATAATCCACATCTATTTGAAGTTTAAAATTAGGATACTGTCTAGGTATGCGAAAAAAAATTAGGCCTCCTCACATCAGAACCCATATACTAACATAGATTCCTCTTCACTTCCTTACCTCCTATTACCCAAATATGCATGATATACCTCACCTCTGCCACCTGGCTTCCCTGGCTTCCCCCAAGACTCAAAATTCTACCTTCGGCAGAGACCTTTCCTGGTTCCCCTCATGTCTGGTGCTTCTGCACTAGCCTTCTAAATGATCTCTCTCCCTGTCTGTCCCTGTTCTAACCCATCTTCTACATAATCCAACATTCAAATAACTACCAAAGAGATTTCCCGAAAGTGTAAGTCTGACTATCTTACCCCCTACAAATTCCAGCGGCTCCCTATTCCCTCTAGGATCAACTCTAAATTCCTTTGGGATACAAAGCTATTTTCAACCTGACCCATGCATACTTTTCCAGCCTTCTTTCCCCACTAACCCTACTCAGCCATACTGATATACTCATTGTACCTCACCAAGGATGCTCTGTCTCTCATCTCCATGCATTTGCACTGAGCTAACCCCCATGTTTAGCATGCTCACCTTCCTCTCCTTTTACCTTGTTGAATCCCTGATTTCTGTCAAGACTCAGCTCAAATGTAACCTTCTGCAAGAAACCTTTCCTGGTTCCCTCAGCTGCTAGTGCCTTCTTCCAAAGTATATTTCCTCTACTCTGTATTTATACTGGATATGCCTATTTGTATACATGTTGTCTTCCCCTTAGAATATAAGCTCATTGATGGTGGGAACTAAGTCATTTTGTGTTGATGGTGGGGAACGTTTCATTTTGCGTTTTGTACCTCAATGCTTGACACATAATAGGTCCTTAATAGATACTTGTTGATTGCTAAAGGTCAGTCCTTAGAGTCCAGAGGATCTGGGTTCAAATCCTGCCTGATAAATAACCAGTTGTGTGATCCTGGGCAATTTACTTGACCTTTTAGGAACCCAACAACTCTCTAAGACTAGAAGTTACAGATGAGTCAATCCATTCACCTCTGAATCCTCTGGAGGAAGTTTTTACATAAGAAGCTCCCCCCATCATTGAAATCATAGCTCTGGACCTAAGAAATAAATAATTAACTTCCGCCTTGTAGAAAATGTGGTTGGGGAATGTTGCTTCTGCACTAACTCATCAGGGTGTGGACGCCTACGGGACAGCACACTACAGAGCATTAAAATCAATTTAAAGTGGGTTTGAGGTCTGTAAGAAATAGCTGGTTTTTCATTTCCACAAAAGTCACCAAAACCTAAAATGTAATCTAAGGGCTAGGTGGAAGTTGAACAAAGGAAGCCATAAATCAGAATAAGAAAATGCTACTGGTAGGTGAATAGACTAACCAGTTCTGAGGTTAGGTATAGATTAACATCAAAAGGGGTGTTCCCAAATGAGAGCAAATGTGGATGCGGGCCTGGGTCCCCAAATTGTGGGGAGATGTATTTAAGGGCAGAGACTCACATGGGGAAATTAGGCACTTTGGATAGGTTATAACCTCTAGGTTGTCACCCCGACTAATGGGGAAACAGGAGGGAAATTTGAATCGGGAACGGGGAATAAAAAGGTGTGTATCTGTCTGACGCTTGTACTCCGACAGTGGGATGCCCAGCCTTCTCAGGCTGTTAATAAAGTTTCTTCCTGGGTTCAATTCATGTGGAATTCATGGTAAGACTTTTTGCTGCTAACACCCTCCTCCCCCATAGAATTTGAATATAAATCAAATAGTGATGGACTTGAAATGTCTTCTAGGAGGAACAGAAACTAAAAGCAAAGGAGGGAACCAACTTGTAACATTCCTTGGGGTGACAGTAAATTTACAGGACAAAACTGGAACTCTTTAAAATATTCCATGATTAGGAAACTGTTTGGCCCCATAACTTTCCCTCACAAGCCATTATAGGAAAATAAGCATCTGCTGCTCATAGACCATCAACGTTTCCCCAGTTTGTGTCTGGGGCTCTGAAAACAACACAGCTCTGCTGAATTATTGATTAAATCCAGGCCATTTGCAAACTCCAGCTGAGGCTCTAACACTCAGTGGCTACACAAAAATACCCATCACACGGAGCAATAAAAAAAAAAAACAGAACTTGAGCAAACACAGCAAAGAGAAGACATGACAGAAATCACTCCAAATTTCCTGCTTCTATGAAGACATGTATCTAAAGACATATACACATTGAAATGTTTCTTTAATTACCCTTTTCCTTGTCTTGTCTTTGAGGAATGGTTTTATTAGTGTGTACAGGGCATGAATGTACCAAGGCTGATTGACAAAATGGACTCCTCCAAAGCGAGCAGGAAAACTGTCCTGTAGTGAAGAAAGAAATGGAGACCAATTAACAAGCACACCAGGGTTGGCAGGGAGACAGCAGGACTGTGGTCCAGGGAACAAGGCTGTTTCTTATCCATGACTGAGGCACTTGCTAATGAATGTGAGAGGAGGAAAACACACACTAATTCCCTTGCTGTTAAGGTCTCCTTCCCACTTCCTCCCTTTCCCCCATCAACTCCAGCTCTTCTCATGTCTGCCTTTTGGTGTTGGGAGCTTTAAAAAGACAATCAGTAGGTGGGTGGACTGCCTTTCCGTGGGTCTATAGCTGTGGCTATTTCTTACTCTGCGCTGTGGAGTGTCTATTCAGTGTAAGGGGTTAGGAGGAATTGGGGCCTCCGGGCCTCAGGGTTGGGGAAGAACCTGAACACTAATCCTCTCTCTTTGTCCCGAAATCAAGGTTTTGTTTCCCATACACTTTTGACACAATTTCCCCCTTCACCCCTACCTCCTTCAACAAAGATCCAGTTCAAATTATCATAACAGTGGCTGAACTTTCCGGGTCAATGAATCAGGAGCAGGAACCAGGAAAAGAATTGAAAATGTTCATGGAGAGAGGAGGGCACAATAGAAACGACCAAATACTGGTGATAGATTTTTTTTTTTTATTTGGAGCTCAGAGGTTCATGAATTTAGGTAAAAATTGGGCCCTGGAACACTATTGACCAGGGTGAACTGATTGATAATGTAGATTTCAAAACTTGTTCTTTGTAGATACAGATAGGGAAGGGCTTTGTGATTTTGGTAGAGAGAACCCCCAAGTGAGGAAACTCTGTTAATGCATGTCCCATCCTCTCTGCAACTTGGAAAGTCTCAGAGAATTGCCTAGACTGTTGAAAATTAAGTGATTTGACCAAGGTCACAAAGCCAATATGTGAAAGAAGCTGTTCTTGAGCCCAGATCATCCTGGTTTGGCTGTCCACTACCTGTCCACTATTCCATGCTGCCTTTCCAACATAGAATAGTGCTTGTTTTCAGATCAAGTTTATCTATAAAATCATTCAAGGGGACAGATAGTGATATTGGCTGCCTTCTGAACTGATGAGACACACAACAGAGTGGAAATGTCCAGGCCCAAACCACAAACCCTCCTGAAAGAACTCCATGACCAGGAAGGAGCTTTCTCCAACTTTGGAAGAAGAGGAGATAGGGGATGCCTAGAGAGGCTTCAACTGAGTGCAAGGGGGTGGGGATGAGGGGACTTGATTTCTCTAAGGGAAACAAATTCAATGCAAAGAATACTGTACTATCCATAACCTCAATAGCCTGAAGTGGTAAAAGGCAGAATAAGCAGAATGAGGAGAACATTGTATGCAGTGATAGCCATATTGTTTGAAGAACAAATCTGAGTGAATAAGTTATTTTGACTATTATAGATTCCCAAGTTAGCTATAGAGGACTTATGGTGAAGGACACTGTCTGGATCCAGAGAGTGAACTGATAGAAGTATATATAGAATAATTTTACATATACATATGGGTATACATATATACATATGCACACATATACACACGCGAGCACACACACACACACACATATGCCTATTTGTGTCTGATAGTGGCCAGTTCTAGGGTGGGGTTGGAGTAGGTGAGAAAAAAAGGAATTTACATAATTTTGTTGTATATTTGAAAGGAATAACAAGTTGTGCATAGTAGATTTGCAGTTTTATGTATAATCATCTTTTTTTGTATTATGCTATGGAAATGCTTGTTTTATTCCATAAATATGTATTAATGTAATTTTTTTAAAAAAAAGAGGTAGGGGAATCAGCCTGGAATTTCAGATTGGAGAAGGATCCTGAGCAAAAGAAAAAGACCTCTGCAGGGATGAGGTAAAACATTTCTTGAGGTTTTACCTCCATAGTAATATGGGCCATATGGGATAAACTAATCTGGGTAAAGGTGTCCAGGGTCTCTATCATTACCTGGAAAGTGTTGGATGCCTGAACTCCTGGCCAAAGGCTACTTGATGGGAGTTATGACCTGAGCCCAGGGTTAAATCTTGCTTCTTAACTCTGGAAAAACCTAGATTTTGTAGAAGCCTTAAACCAGTCATTATTGTTGTCATCATCATCATCATCATCATCATCATCATCATAGCTAGCATTTATATAGTCTTAAGGTTTTTAAAGGATTTACAAATGTTATCTCATTAGATAGATGAATAAATACCCTGTCCACTATCTTGACACCTGCACTATTAATTTAATATCAACACTATCTTTTAGAGACAGAGTAATCATCCTCTCTCCACCCCCAAAAGAATAAACTGAAGAAAAAACAACAATAACAACCCATCTGACTCTGTTCATCTGACTCTCCATTCTGCTTGCTGGAGCACTGGATATTTTTGTCAGCATGAAAAGTAACATTAGATCATGATGTGAATATCAAACACTGAATGTGACCGCACCAACAATCAATGGACTTTGCTACTAATTTGTGACCCATTGGACTGACCCCAGGTAGCCTTGATAGATATCAAACTGAACCTCCAAGGACCCATAACCTAGGATAAACCTAGGTGGAAATGGATATCTGAGCTGAGGTCGGGCCACAGAGATGTCCAAATTGATGAGAGAACAGCTGCTCCATATACAGAGAGGACCTACACACTAGAGTTCTTGGCTTTTACCCTCCAAGACTGCCTCTTGACTCTTCCCTCCACGAGACCAATTGGCCTTGCAGACTGTCCCTGGACCAGAAATCACAGTTCTTCTCCACTCCCACCCAGGGGGTGTTAGTCTAATCATAAACTGGGGCCTGAGCCAGACCTATCCTGGCTGGCTAGAGAAGGTGAGTAAATCAAATGCCCTACAACCAGTATCCTTGGACCCCTCACTAACAGGCTTCCTAATAAGCCAGTCAGCTCAGGGCCAGAATTTCCATTCCTACCCTTTCCTCCAATGCAATCAAATCAACATTGCAGCTAGAGCCAGGGGCACAGCTCCCCAGGCTGCTGAGAAAGACAAAGAGCAATCCTTTGCTGCAAATTCTCTTGAAAGTTGGCTATGATTCTCCACTGACTTTGTCCTCTACAAATTTATGTTATCTACTTTCAAATGGGGGCACCTAGGTGGATAGAGCAGTGAGCCTGGAGTTCAGAAGACCTGAGTTCAAATCTAACCTCAGACACTTACTACATGTGTGACACTCAGCAAGTCATTTAACTCTGTTTTGTTTGACTTAGTTCCTCATCTGTAAAAATGAACTGGAGAAGGAAATAACAAAGCACTCCAGTATCCTTGCTATAAACAAAAACAAAAACAAAAAACCCCAAACCTAAATGGAGTCACGAAGAGTCAGACACAACCAATGGGCCCTCATTGCTGCAGTCAGTACTTCTACTCTTCTCTGCTTGATTCTTGGTAGCTCTTTCATTCTGGAAGCAATAGGGACGCCCAGGAGTTTATTCAGAGGGATTGGAGGAGAGTGTTATTGTCAGACCTTATTATAAGGATCAAATATGGTAATATTTATAAAGCACTCAGCACAATGCCTGTCTCATAATTGATGCTATGTAAGTGCTAACTACTGTTATTGTTACTATTAGACACGTGCTTTAGGAAAAATTATTTTGGTAACTGACTAGAAAATGAATTGGAGTGCAAAACATATGTCCATATTATCCATGTTCCAAGAGAAAATACAAACAAAACAATACAAATAAAGAAAGAAAAGAGTATGCTTCAATTTGCATTCAGAGTTCATCAGTTCTCTCCCTTTTTCCTCTCTGTCTTTCTATCTCTGTCTCTCTGTCTCTCTCTGTATCTGTTTCTGTGTCTGTCTCTCTCTCTCTTTCTCATACCCTCCTCTCTCTACTCTATCCTTGGTGATCTCATTAGCTCTCAAATCTATCTAGATCTCATCTTTCTCTTGTTCTAGTTCTGTCTCAAAAATTGCCTACAAGGATGTTCCAAAGGCATGTCAGACTCAACATATCCAACATATAGTTCATTATCTCCTTTCAAAACTAACCCTTCTTACTAACTTTGACATGTCTGTCAAGGGTACCACCATCTTTTTAGGCAACAAGGCTCAGAAATGCAGAATCATTCTGAACTCTCAACTTTCCCTTCCACCCTTGTCCCCAGTGTCCCAATCAGTTGCCACATCCCATTAATACCTCCTTCACAATCCATTTCTTTTCCATCCACATTATTACCACTTTAGTTCAGGCCTTTAGCACTTCTTTCTGGGCTACTGTAATTGCCTCCTAATTGATCTCCTTGCCTCCAGATTCTCCCCCTTTAATCTGCATGGCCATCAAATTGATATTCCCAAAGTCCAGGTCTGATCATACCACTCCGTTGCTCAAGAAGCTTCATAGTCTTTATATCACCTTTTGTATTAAATACAGGCTCTTCTGTTTAAGCCTTCCACAATCTAAATCTAATCTATCTTTCCAGACATCTTTCATACTGCTCTCCCTTACAAACAAATTCCACCTTCTAGTCAAGTTGGCTTACCTTGCCTTCCTGGCCTAGCCCAGACTTGATACTGTATCTCCTGACCACATGCTTTTGTACAAACTCTTTGAATCTAGAATGCTTTCCCTCTTCATCTCTGCTACTTGGAATCCCCAGTCCCCTTTAAGGACCAGTTCACACATAATCAATGTCTCTTGTGATTGTCCTAGCTGTTAATGTTCTATCTCTCTGAAATTACTTTATATTTATTCTTCATATGGTTCTTCATATGGTCCACTATTTACTTCCAGAAGAATGTACAGTTTTTAAAGGCAGAAGCTGTTGTAACCCCATTACCTAACACAGCTTGTTGAAAATAACTGAATTAAATTAAATTGAATTACATATCCTCTTATGATTAAAGCCTGTTTTTCACATGCTCTACTTTTCCCACATGTCTTTTCCAAATCTTTGAGCCTGTAGGATTCCTGGGTATTTACTTCACAGGGACCTGATTTGCTTGCTTCCTCTCCCAAATCTACTTGAATGACAACTTAGGCCCAGATATCCT